GACAGGGGATAATGGTGAGGACAGAGCAGCAGTGTGAAACTGACTGTGGGAGGTCCCTGGAAAACTTCCTCTAGAGTGGAAACCGTGGGTCTAATTTGACATCATCCCCGCTCCTCATGCACATATTACATCTGCATGATGTGAGTGGAAGCCACTAGAGAAATAAAATATTTTTATACTATTTTTGACAAGTGAAAACAGATAACAGAACACCTAAGTGGAAAATGAGCCAGAGTAGGAGTGTTTAAAAACTTGGGAACCAAAGAAGTTTTTACTGGCATGGAGGGCTTTCTGCTGGGTAAAAAGGAACAGTTGCCTGGCTCACAATGAGCAGAGTTGGAGGAACCAGATTTGAAGGAAATGCTTCAGGTGTCTAAACATAGGCAGGTAGTGCTTTCAAGACGTACTAAGACATCAAAGCCATCTGCAGTGTTCTGAAAGGGATGATGCAGAAAATACAGATAAGCCACCCACCTTTCTGGAAAAGCAGCTGAAGGCTGGAGTAACCTCAGCAACATCTGGAATGGCACCAGATGCCAGGTATTTAGGTACCAGAGTACCTAAATTCTCCCTAAATTCAAGACTTCACTTCCCTGAAAATAAACATTGGAGATGATATCTAATGGCTGGTTGCCAACATTCACAGACTGAGAACTAACTGAAGTTAAAAGATCAGCTGGGGAGTTTGACTTGTTGGAGAACTATGACAAAGCCCTACTTAACCATGGACGTGGGAGTAGGTCATAGAGCATATATATATATTTCTGGCCAACAGTACGAGGCTTTCAAAAGTCAGGGAAGTTTTTCTACATCAGCAATAAGCAGTGGGAATGGGGAGGAAGGCAGCTCTGTGGGATGAGCAGGGAAGGGATGGAAGAGAGGACTGCTGCACGCAGCACATCACTAAGCGCGTGGCTTTGACTTCAGCAGGGCAGTGCTGGGCATCAGCATTCATTTTGCTTACAACCTTGTAAGCCAGTAAGACATATTTCCACATCTCGGACATGAAGCTCCTCAGGGGAATATTCAGAATCTAATTACCATGCAAATCCAGTCGGGATGCAGCTCTCTCACTTCTCCCATCCTCCAGTCCTTCCTTTCTCTGCCTAAAAATTACTTGGGTGTGCAACCCTACTTTTCCATATAGCCTCTTCAAGAATGTATCTACCTCAGAGAAGCATTATTGGACATGTGCAGATGGGTATACCCACATAACTCTAGGAGTTACAAGTCCAGCCCCTGAACTTGCTATCACATACTGAGTCAAATAAACAAGCAATGTTCAGATCATAATTGTGATCTGTGAAATAATGATCAAACAAGAATTGACAACTCAGTAGTTCTGTTGACTCATGCTCTTGAAATGATCATCTCTTTCACTGGGTTGTTTGAATGGTATGTAATTACCATGGGTTTATTCATCTATTTGTTTTTAAAAGGCTAATTCTTCACACCGACTCAAAATATAAATTCAGACTCAAGCTAAAAAAAAAAAAAAAAATCATCTTTTGGGTTCTGATTTTGCATCCTTTATGTCTTTGGCAAATTTTTCTTCAGCAGAAGCAGAAAGGTATTCCCTTAAAGCTTATCTCCAGTGTGACTTTTTCATTTTGAAACCTGAATTAGTCTTTTTCACAAAGGTTATAATTTTAAAAGATCACACACATCCACATTACTGCATTTGGCATCCCATAGACAACACCACACTACATTAAGCTCCACTTTCTGGCAATTGCTGCTGAATGTTCAGATTTTTCAATCACAACCACTGTGGGAGCCTTTTTATAGTAGAGGAAATGTAAATACCATGTGAAAAGATCAAAAGGTGAATCAGAAACTTATCTAAATCACAGTAGCCCCAGATAAAGTCTGCCCCATTGCCATA